GTTGGTTCATTTCCCTTCCTCTTAAAAAAATTCCTTTAGGGGCGCTTGGGTGGCTCAGTCGGTTAAGTGTGCAATTCTTGGTTTCAGCTCAGGTCATGATCTCAGGGTCCTGAGATCAAGCCATGTGTCTGACTCCCCACTCACTGGGGACTCTGCTTGTCTCCCTCTCTCTCTGCCCCTCCTCCCACTTGTGCTTTCTCCCTTTCCTTCTAAAATAAATACATAAATCTTAAAAAAAAAAAAAAAATTCCATTAACATTTATTGTAGTGTAGGTTTCCTGGAGACTAATTCTCTCACTTCTTGTCTGTCTGAAAATACCTGTATTTCACCTTTACTTTTTTATTTGGTGTAGGGAGAGCTGGAACTATATTTTACTTCTGAATTTATTAACTTTTTAAAGTAATTGCAACACTCAGAAATTACAAAAATAATAGAGAGCTCCCATGTACCCTTCACCCAGCTTCCCCAATGACCATCTTATAGCCATAGTATAATTTTCAAAACCAGGAACATTGGCGTATTACTATAAAATACCTCATTTGGTCATCGGTTCTTACATGCATTTGTGCATATGTTCCTATGAAATTGCATTACATGTATAGAGTAACTACCACAATTACTCTGCAGAACTGTTCTAGAAAGAAACTCCCTCGCAAAGAAATTTCTGTGTATTGCTTTATAGGGACACCTTCCCCCTTATCCTGATCCCTGGAAAGCACTGATTTGTTCTGCATTACTATAATTGATATCTTGAGCATGTTGTAAAAGTCAAATTATATACTGTGTAACTTGTTGAGATGGACTCTATTTCATTCACCATAATGCCCTAAAGATCCATCTGAGTTTTGCATGTATCAGTAGTGTAGTTCATTCCTTTTTATTAATAAGTAGTATTCTAAAGTATGGATATAGTGTTGAAGAACATGTGAGTTGTTTCCAGTTTTTCACCTTTCACCATTTAGTATGGTGTTAGCTGTAGATTTTTGGTAGGTGTTCTTTATCAAGTTGATAAAGCTCACCTGCATTTCTAGTGTATTAAGAGTTATCATGAATGGGTAGTGAATTTTATCAAATGGTTTTCTGTATCAATTAATAATATCATATGATTTTTCACCTTTATACTGTCACCATGGTGGATGACATTGATTAGTGTTTGAATCAAGAAACTGAACTAGTCTTACATTCCTTGAATAAACCCCACCCACCAGGTCATGGTGTATTATTCTTTTCATATGTTGCTGGATTCAATTTGCTAGTATTTTGTTGAGGACTTTTGCATCAATGAGGATTATTGGTATGTAGTTTTCTTTTTATTCTATGTCTTTATCTGGTTTTGGTATGGCAGTGCTGATGACCTCATAAAATGAGAAGTCTTCCTTCTGATTTCTGGAAGAGAATGAGTAGAATCTGTCTCTTTTTCTTTCTCCCTCTCTCTCTCTCTCTTTTTTTGGGGGGGGAGGATGTTTTTTCTTTTTAAAATGTTTGAGAATTCTCCAGTGAAATCATCTGGGCCTAGAGGTTTTTCCTTTTTAACTATGAATTCAATATCAAGAGTGGTCAGACTTCTCTGCAAAAAGCCAGATAGTTAAATATTTAGGTTTTACAGGTCACATGGTCTCTGTTACAACCCATGCCACAGACTCTTTCCCAAGCAGATCACTCAGTAAGCTGAAGACAACTGGTGGTTAAATCCTTAGATGAGTGCTTTCCCATTTGATATTAGTTGTTGCTTACAGAGAGGCTAGGTACATAGGTTATACAGTAGACAATTCTATCTTGAAATTTTAGTGGCTTGACTTCTGTTCTTACCTAGATGGGGTATCATCCATTTCCACATGTAAGTTATATATAAATGCTACTTAAGTTAGCTTACCAGTGGTCTCAGCCCTTAAAAATACACAATTTGATGGCGTATTTCTTTCTTTGTGGAAGAACAATGCTTTATGGGTCCACAGGAATAATTATTCACTTACTTTGCCTTTAGCAAATAAAGCTGACAAAACTTTTTTTTTTTTTTTTTAAGTAGGCTCCGAGCCCACGTGAGGCTTGAACTCATGACGCTGAGATCAAGATCACATGCTCTACCCTGGGCCAGCCAGGTGCCTCTAAAGCTGACAAAAATTTAGTAAAATTGTGATAGTGTGTCTTTATTAGCTCTCAGGCAGTAAAGTTAGTTGACTCTCAATAGTTTCTTCTAGGTAGAAGAGCTAAAGTGCTTTTAAGATATCTATTTTGTTTTATATACCTTATATAGAAGTTACTTCTTACCTTCTAAAACTCTGTATCCTGAAAGTGACTTTTGTGGGGTTAAAAAAGACTCTGAAGAATGGTTGTTTAGAGGTCGAGAGAGTAGCTTTTGTGAAGAATGATGGTACTACATCAGATGAAGATTGAAATATTTTGCCTTGTTTATAAATCTCTTCTCTTCCAAGTTACTTGATAAATGGTACAAGGAGAGGGCAGGCCAGGGCACCAAAGTGAAGCAGAAACAGAACGACTTGTAACAAGCTGAGAACAGGAAACTGATTCTTGGAGTTTTGGCCAACAGGAATGTCGTTAAAAAACATTTAAGAAATTCCTGGAACTTGCATGCATCAGTATCTGTTCAGTCTATAGTGGTTGGTCTATTCCTGGAGCATTCAAAGAGACATGCCACAGTATCCACCCTGGGGCAGTTTCCTCTGATTTGAAATAGCCTCTTCCCTTACCCAATATATGGCATGTATATTGGGTAAAGGGTGCCATGTCATGAAAACTGTTGGGAATCACTATACTATTTTTAAATCTTTTTTTATTGTGGTAAAAAGCACATAACATGAAACTTACCTCAACTGTATGGTTTAGTACTGCCAAGTGTATTCACACTGTTGTACAACCGATCTCCAGAACTTTACATCTTGCAAAATTGAAACTCTAGACCCACTAAATACCAACTCCCCTACATTTTGCAACTACTTTACATATTTTGTATTAGTGGAATTACATGTTTTTTTGTGACTGACATAGTTTGCTCTGCATAATGTCCTCAAGGTTCATCCATATTGTAGCATGTGGCAGGATTTCCTTTTTTAAGGCTGCATAATATTCCATTATATGTTTATACCACATTTTCTTTATTCATCTACCTATGGGTATTTGGGTTGTTTCTCCCCTCTTGGCTACTGTGAATAATGCTATGATGGGTATACAAATATCTCTGCAAGAAACTTAATTGAATTCTTTTGAATATATACGCAGAAGTAGGATTGCTGGATCATGTAATTCGACTTGTCATGTTTTGAGGAATTTCTGTACTATTTTCCATAATGACTGCACCATTTTGCAGTTCTACCAAGAGTACACAAGGGTTCCAATTTCTCTATCTTCACCATTGGTTATTTTCTGTTCTTTTGATAATGGCCATCCTAAAAGGGGTAAGATGTTATCCCACTCTGGTTTTGATTTGCATTTCTCTTACAATCGTGATGCTGAGCATCTTTTCATATGCTTTTAGAGAATTGTCTATTCAAGTTTTCTTTACATATTCTGGATACAAGTCCTTTATCAGATAAATGATTTGCAGAATTTTCTCCCAATCTGTGACTTTCATTTTTTTTTTAAATAATGTCCTTTGAATTACAAAAGGTTTTTTTCTTTTGTGGATTGTGAATTTAATATATGCAAACTCTTTACCTAACCCTAGGACACAAAGATTTTCTGTTTTTTCCTAAAATTTTTATATTCTAGCTGTTATATTTAGGTCTACAGTTTTTGTATAAAATGAGGTAGGGGTCTATTTTTCTCTCTTTTCAAGGATGTCCAGGTGTCTCCACACCTTTGTTGAAGATTATCTGTCCCCACTGAATTGCCTTGGTACATTTGTTGGACACCAATTGCTCATATATGTGAGAGTTTACTTCTGGACTTTCAGTTCTCTTCCACTGATCTGTAGGACTGTCCTTACGCCATGACCATACTGTCTTGATTTCTCTAGCTTTGTGGTCAGTTTTGAAATGGAAAAGTGTGTCTTTCAACTCTGTTCTTCATCAGGGTTGTTTTAGCTATTTTTGGTCCTTTGGATTTCCACAGCCTGCTAGGATTCTGACTGAGACTGTGTTCAATCCTACAGATCAGTTTGGAGGAAATTTTTTTTTTTTTTTGCTAAATACTAATTGCCCTATGCAATCACAGTTCCTGGCTGGAGTTGCTAAGATCTGAGTTCACATATATTAGGTCCTCGCCATGGGTCAGGTGCTGATTCTTCCTAAGAAATAGTTCCCTTGAGTTTATTCATTATGAAGATATTCTCCTTCATACTTCCACAGGTAAACAGCTTGATCCTGCTTGCTATACAGTGTGTTCCATGTCCCTACCAAAGTACAAGGTTAATGTTTATCTTCATGAATCTCTGGCAATACCTCTTGACAAATTTTGTTGTGTGCTTCTAGGCATTTCAGCTTAACATTATAAAACTATAATTTGTAGAGCCTGCTTGTTTCCTTTTTGGCCAGGAGACTAGAATGAGCATCTTTTCTTGGATCAACTTTCAGGACAAATAAGGATTTTAACCAGCTGTCTTCTCAAGGTCTGTTATTGGAAGACATCATTCTTTGGATTCTGGGCAGCAGACTGCTGACTGAGACTGCTCTGAGGACATGCAGCACTGCCCCCACCATCTTGTTCTCTGCCTTGGCTCCCTTAGAATCACTAATTATTAATAACCAAAAAGCTTTCTAATTATGACTATCTTGCCCATGTAAGATTAAGCCTAGTTTTTTGTCTTGCCAAGAAAATTTTTAGAGGATAAATTACTTATGAGATGGCCTATTTCCTGATTTAAAAGGACTAGATTTCGGTTGGTTAATGTAGTGAGTACTTTGTAGGATCCAGGACCTAAACTTCTCAGGAAAAATATACAAAAATTTTTTTTTGTAACATGTTTTATTTACTATTCTTACAGACTACACAAAATAAATACTAGGATAATTCAAATCTAACACAATATATGTATTTCCTATAGGAAAGCACAAGGAGAAGACAAAAGTATTGTGAGTCTCAAGAAATTCTGAATGAAATAAAAAGTTCTCCACAACCGTCCAGCTGTATATATTTCCCAAATTCATTTTATGAACCCTATCAAGATTCTACGAGTCCAGATATATTCAATAATTCGAGATCTTCATCTTGGGATACATCTACTTCTACAACTGGTATGGAGGTCACAGACTTTACTCTTAGTGAAGAGACAAAGGCAGACGTGTATTATTATGGCTTCATCATTCTTTTTCTTTTGACTTTAGTATGTCTTGCTTTATATTTTCTATGAAGATATCAAATAAAGTCCTTTTGATAATTTTTAAAGTTGCCAGTTCTTCACAGAAATGTTACATTCTTATTTATTTCAGGATTTCCTTCCAGACATTTTCAAGGTAATTGGCTTGTAAAAAAAAGAATACATTTTAACAAAGTAAGTTTGTGGACGTTGTAAAATTAAGATTGCTTTATGCTAAAAAATGGGGTCATTATACAGTTTGACCAAAAAAAGGATTTTCCAAAGCAGCAATTTAAAAAACAATGTTATGGGTAGGGACTATTTTACTTTTTTTAATACACAGAATAATTAATAAAATATTGTTTTAGATATGTATATAGTATATCAGCTTATCTTCCAGAACATGTTACTAAAAGAAAGCTAGGCACATTTTATGAAATGTGATTATTTTCTTACCTTGCTACAATATGGGCATTCACCAAATATGATGTTAAAACTCTGTCTACTAGTCAGTAGTCCTCTCAACCACTGAAGATTTTAAAGAGAGAAGATAAAGGGAGCAGTGTCAGCATGATTACAGATTCTCCAAATATCATTTCCTTTGAGTACATATATTTTTATTCCAAAAGATTTACCTTCTTAATTTTCTTTTAGCAAAAAGTAAGGGGAACATTTCCTGAGCCAATACCAGACTAGTAATATGCTGAATAACAAACAAGGGGAGACCAGCATGGATGTCAAGGTCTATACCACTGGTTTATGCCCCTTTATGCACTTTCTCAACCCCAAAAGACAAGAAAATAATGCACACCAAGTCCATGGGGTTCATAGACCCCACCTAAAATCATTAATTACAAATTAAGAACTCCTGCTGTAAAAGATCCAATAGGCTCTTGAATATTTAGGTCTTAATTCTGGTCTTAATCACCAATAGTGGGTTAATTCTCAATCCATTAATTAGAAGCATGAGGCAATCCATTTTTAAAAATTAAATGAATATTCATTATTACAAAAGAAAGCACATGTTCCCTTAAGAATATCTCTATAATTAGACCTGGTACTTTATGGCTTTATATAAGGTAAATTGACATCTCTAAGTTCTCCATTGTTAAAGTGCAGATAACACCAACTGCTATCTCTAAGCACAAAAACGGGAGGTGATATTAAGGAAGACGGGAAGCACTACAGAACTGGAAGGTGTTCTATATATACATGCATATATAATCATGTCAACTATGCACTTCTGTAGAGATCAAGTGACTACACAGTAATGGAAGCAGACTTCGCATATAGTAAATAGTAAATAAAATGTCACTGAGAGTGCTATGACATATTTAGATCATAAAATGCATTCTTCTCAATACCAAAAGATTATTACATTTATTCTGTACTTAAGTCTACTCTGAGAAGTAATAGATACCTCCAGAGCGCTACCCTTTCGCCTTGCTGCCACCACTGCTCCCACTTGTATGAGTCTACAGAGTTTGCACTGGGTTACAGGAGATATTTACCTAAAGAGCCCAAGGTACCATTGATTTGATTTGTTAGCATCAATAAGCAGTCCGTGGATATATTCGGGATACACTTTCTCCCTTCTTGGGATACTTTAGGACATTTCTTCACTGATTAGTAACCAGGATGAAGAAATGAAAGCACATGGCCATCTGGAAATGAACTGGTAAAGGGGCTAATGGCAAAAGGGATCACCATTCACTAAACAGATTTTAGATCCAAATATGCATACTTCCTATGTCATGGTAGCCAAAAAAGTCTTGCCACAGTTATTTTTATTTATTTACTTATAAATATAAATAAATATTTATATTTATTTATTTATTTTATTTCTACCTCATATAAGCATATTTGATGGAAAGGCTGTCCACACTGGGAATTATCACACACTTGATCAGGAATGGCGCCATCAAGTTGATAGGCATAACAAATCCCACAATCCATAGAAAAATCCTTCAAAGAAAATATTTATAAGCAGATGTCTTTAAAACACAAGGTAACATAAGAATGAATAATATGGTATAGATAATACTAACTTTTTATAAAGTTTTTATAAAGGTTGCTATATCACAATATTACAGAAAATAGTTATATCACTAACACTTTAAAAAAAGCTATTTGTAAGAAGAGTGCTTCATTTTTTTCATCCAGTAAGTAACGCACACAGATATAGTCAAAACAGATTCTATTTTGGGCTTAAATAATTTTCCCATATTGTACATCAATATAGTGCCACTGTAGTATGTAAAGAGAAGAACTGACATTAGCTAGTGATTACTAAAATTTCAAAATTCTGTAAAGGAATAAGCCAAAAACATCCCCACCACTTTGACAGTCTACAACCTCGGCTGTTTAATCAAAAATCAATTCTGAGTTTATTATTTTTGCAACATAGTAATGTCTATTCATTTTTAAAAACTGTACTGCCACTTTTCACAAATACATCAAGCTAATTAAAACTTTATTTCAATCATCCATAAGTAGATACTAATAGAATATCCAAACATCTCATTAACTACTTTGGACCTTTCCCCCTATTTTTAATAATAAAGATGTCTGTCATTAATCACTTTATTGCTACGAAGACCATGAAAAAAGTATACTTAAACCACTAATCAAAGGTTAACAAGTTCTTTGATGCTACTGTTGCTTGCAGTTCAGAAGTCTGTTATAATATTCTTCCAACTCCCTCCCTTTCAGCCTCATTTTTCTCTGGTGTCTAAAGGAGGAACATTTAACTTTCATTATGCTATGCTGTTTGGAATATCAAAGCACTGATAAAACTTACAGATTTTTCCAGGTTAGCACGAGCTGGAAAATCTATTTCTAAAACATCTTTCAAGTTTTGTAACAGACTATTTTCTGGATCCCTGAAAGCATGAAAAAAAAATTTGTTATTAAATTTGCAAAATAGAAAAATAACAATTGTATTGCAAAGATACCTACCACGAATGTATGTTTCTGCTCAGCTTAATTCCCAGAGGTTTTACCACTTCAGATATTTAAAAAAAAAAAAAAAAAAAAAGTGTTTAATAATTTAGCATCTGCTGCTCTCACTTTGTAAAGATATTTAGCACAGAATTTTTTTTTTACTGAGATATAATTGGCATATAACATTGTGTTAGTTTTGGGTGTATGACATAATAATTTGGTATATGTTTTTATTGCAATACACTCACTACAAAGGTTAGTTAACATCCATCACCACTTAAATGTTTTTTTGATGAGAACTTTTAAGATCTATTCTCTTAGCAACTTATAAATACTGTTAAATACAGAATTTGCTAAATACTTGACTGGAAAATCTAAATCACATATTTTTTAAAAACCACAAAAGTACACAGTTCAGAATGATGAGACGTTTTCATTTAAAATGATTACCAATATATTAATATTTCAGAATATTTTAACAGTGCAAGATAAGAATTTTATGACTCTGTTAACGTTTAAATATGAGATCTCATACCATGGTCTGCTCCAAGAAAGCAGCACTCAGGAAGCATAGTAGGATGCCTGGGGTCAACGTCTATATTTATTGAAGCATTATTTCCTAGAATAAAAGAATACTGAAGTTTATAGAAGTAGAAAAGTTCATCAAACAGAAAATAAAGGGGTATCTACCTGGGTACTTAGTGTACCAAAGGAAAGATTAGCCAATGTTTTATAGTTTTTTAATAAGCATATTAGTATTTTATAGTCTAAAAGAAATTTTGAAATTATGATTATGACTAAAGATTTGGGGATCCATCCAAAGTTTCAAAATACATAGTCAATCCATTGAGTTACTATAATTAATTTATACTAGAATTCTGATCAGAATTCTATTATAGTGTAAATAAAAATTATCTATAGAGTGATAAAGATCTTTAACATTAAAAGAAATCACAAGATTAAGAAATAGTTATCTAAATGACTTCCATGACCTCCTTGAAAAGCAGAACTGTGGTCAAAAATTAAAAGACGAGAAATACAATAAATGGTAAAAACAAACATGTTTATGATTTTCTATGAAGTTTTATCAAAACATTTTCTATCAATAATCACTTTCAATGTAAATGGACTAAATTCTCCAATCCAACGACATAGGGTGTCAGAATGGATAAAAAGAAAAAAACAAGACCCATCTATATGCTGCCTACAAGAGACTCATTTTACACCTAACAACACCTGCAGATTGAAAGGGAGGGGGTGGAGAAACACTTATCACACACATGGGTGTCGAAAGATGGAGTAGCCCTACTTACATCGGACAAACTAGACTCTTTTTTTTTTAATTTAAATTCAATTACTATATAGTGTATTACTAGTTTCAGAGGTAGAGTTTAATAATTCATCAATTGCATATAACACCCAGTGCTCATTACACCAAGTGCTCTCCTTAATGCCCATCACCCAAATACCCCATCCCCTCACCCACCTCCCCTCCAGCAACCCTTAGTTTGTTTCCTATGATTAAGAGTCTCTTATGGTTTGTCTCCCTCTCTGATTTCATCTTATTTTTTCTCTCCCTTCCTCTATGATCATGTTTTGTTTCTTAAATTCCACATATGAGTGAAATATGTTAATTGTCTTTCATTTATTTCACTTAGCATAATACCCTCTAGTTCCATCCACATCGTTGCAAATGGTAAGATTTCATTTTTTGATGGCTGAGTAATATTCCACTGTATAGATACACACCACATCTTCTTATCCATCTACTGATGGACACATCTGGGTTCTTTCCATATTTTGGCTATTGTGGACACTGCTGCTATAAACAATGGGGTGCAAGTGCCCCTTCAAATCAGTATATTTGTATCCTTTGGATAAATACCTAGTAGTGCAATTCCCGGGTCATAGGATAGCTCTGTTTTTAACTACGGACAAACTAGACTTTAAACCAAAACTGTAACAAGAGATGAAAAAGGGCATTATATCATAATAAAGGGCACAATTCAACAAGAACATCTAGCAATTGCAAATACTTATGCACCCAATGCAGAAGCACCCAAATATATAAAACAATTAATAACAAGCATAAGAACTAATTGATAATAACACAATAATAGTAGGGGCCTTTAAC